ATAATTGGATTTAAAAAACTGAGCGAACATGTTAGAAATTGTTTGATCATCACCAGAGACGGTATTTTGATACTTAATGGCGGAAGGAAATGCCATTAAAACAGTAGAATACCGCCCTTTATAATTATAATAATTCACAGCTTCTTCAGATGATGGATGTACCTCAATGTGGCAAATATTATTTCACCTGCGAAGATTAAAAAATGAATAACTCTATATTAACCAATTGCTCCCAAGCATTGCGGGAATCCAAATGTCTCGAATCCACTAACCAATTCAGCAACAATTTCCCTAGTAAGTGGCAATTTATTCAAGTAAGTTGGCTGTAGAAGCCTCCAGATTTCGTTGCAAAATTCGAGCAAAATTTGGCATACCGTTGATTTGCCTACACCGAACATATTTGCGATGCACCGATACTCTGCAGACGAGCCTAAAGCAAATACTGCTATAGCCCCACTTTTTTCAAGTGGAATAGCTTTTCTATAGTATGTGTCCATTTTTTGTAGAGGCCTAAGGATGTCGCACAGTTTCTCAAATGAGCTACGGTTCATGCGAAAATTTTCTCTAAAAAAAGCAGGTCCATTTCTTTGGCAATCAAATTCCCAAAAATGCTGCTTACGTTCCTAGAATTATTAGCATTTATTTGTGTAAAATATACAAACTTTTGTCCAACACGATTTGATCGGCATCCCAAGTTCCTTTATTAAACTGAGTAAGATCAAACGCTGTTTCTTTAATTTCGCGATCTTCTCTGCAAGGGCTGAGTGCCTCCTAGTGATAGCTTCCATCACTTCTCTTATGGAATCATCGGTGCACAATATTTTTGTTTGGCTTCTCAAAGCCAATACTTTCGCTAGTGTTTTTTTCTTGTCAGAATTCTATAAAACACGATTTTATTAACAATTTAACCCAATATTATACGAATTAAGATCTTACCATTTTCGTTGCTAATAAACGTAAACAAACACAATGATGTCTCAAGTGTCACCGAAAACAGATCGAAAACACAAAATGTCGGTCAGAACGACATTGAGTCCACAATCCACAAACCGTGTTTTCAACGTGTTTTCGATGTCGGTCAGAACATTGTATAACAGTGCGTGCTACCATTCCCCGGTTGAACCCAACGACAAAAAATAAAAAAATGAGTGTGTAACACCGTACACATGATAGAAGTGAAACTTCTTAAAAAAGGTGTGAGTACCAGGTACCTACTCACGAAATTGGATATGTAAACATATGTTTACGGTTCCGCAAACCATTAGGCGATTGAGTTACATACATAGGTTGGGTTAGAAATCAAACAATAATTTCATTTCATCTTAATAATTTTGTGATATACATATAATTTATTATTCATTTTCCGGTAACACCAACTTATATGAATTCGCGCTTCTATCATCCATAGGACCGGGTTGTAATGGAAGCAATTTTATGTTTAACAAATAAATGAAAATATTTATCATGCAATCAATAGATCCTTACGAATTCGCCATTACCAAGGCACTAAGTAACGTACGCACTTTTGTTTGCAAAATGCATTTATTTAAGTTGAAAGAAGACAAATTCCTTTGCTCGGCATTTATTCTTACTCGCTTTCTATCTTCCAAGGTGAATTCATATATTCTTATCACGAATTAATATATTCATGTGGGAGCAAGAGTATAAAAACATAAAATTACCTTATAAATTAAAAGCATAAGTATCACATGTATGCGTAGTCCAATTCACGAAATCATTTCATCGATCTGAGTAAAAACTAAGTGCATAAACTCTATTTCGCGTTAATTGAAATCATGAAATGGTGTTCATTCATTCATTTTCTACTCAAACGCATGAAATAATTTCATGAATTGGCCTACGCATAATGGTAGTAAATGACCATGGTCACGACGCGCAACTCTAACCTGTTGGGTATTTAGTTGCTAATTAGTTGCTCATTACGTTTAAAAGATACGTGTGATCTGCTAGGTTAAGTCGTAAGCTAGCAGACCATTTATATCTTCGGTTCCCGATAAGATATCAGAGTTCTGCAAACGGCATATTTAGTTGCTTATTAGTTACTCATTAGTTACACTTCCCGA